CAGACATAAAGGCAGTAATGAATATTAAATCATTCCTAATACAAATACAATCACTTGTTACTCTTTGTTTTGGGTTCCCTCCCACTTGCCCCCTAATTCCTGGCTATCTTGTCTGAAAGGAGGCTTCCAGGATGCAGAACATTCCTTGTGCACAGTTTTCCTCACATACTTAGAGTCAGGCCTCAGTTCACCTTACCTTAAACCATTCAGAGTAAGGCATAAACACAGCAGGGCCTTCTAGAGCAGCCTGCCGAGCTATCAGGAATGCTGTGATCATATTTTCCATGTCGTAATTCCCAAAGGCCTTTATCAGGAGATGGCTCAGTAGATCTAGAAAAATGAAACAATAACCCCAAACTTTGCTCTTGATACTGTAATGTAATTTTCTACAGCAAATGAAGCCAAATATCTGTGATAAAACGTCAGAAGGACACGTATTGCTGCTTGGGGAACATTTGGGACCTTGCTTATATTTTTTCATGCACTTTCAACAGTCAACTCTTGGATTTCGACCTGCAGGAACTGCAGGGAGTCCAGCAATGAGATAATCAGTAAGAAACTCTAACAAACAAGGTCTGCTAGCAGAGGTGATATAGAATAACTAAGCTCCAGTAATTGCTACTCCAATTAAGAATGAAGGTCACTATCAAATAACCATTCTTAGCTGCACACAGAGTTTGAGAACTGTCAGGCACAAGGCCTGGCATTCACATCGCCAGGCCACCAACAGGGAATGTCTGAATGGAAAAGCAGATTTTTCTGTTTTTCCATGCAGGAATATCAAAGAGCAACTCTGAATGTCTATGTTGCTACACCAGTCAGCATGGAATCCCTCTTGAATACCTGAGAAACAACAAGCAGACATTAGCTTGAAGGTTTGCTAATACCTACTTACCTTTGAAGAGCTGTTCAGCTTCAGCATGACAGACAGACAGCGTGGAAACACAGGACAGGACGTGCTGCCAGTTCACTTCATGAGTCTCCAGCACTTGCTGCAGCTGGCAGATTGACTCCTTTGCACTGAATGCCACGAACAGCTGGAAGAGTGAAAGCAATTCATTTCAGCTATGACATGCAGCCACCCATAAGAGTGAAACACACTGACAGGATTAACATGCATGTGTCTTCTGAAAAAGCTATCCTGTGTACGTCTTCTGCATCAGCTTTCCAGGGCCAGATACCATCCTGGATTGGAACCACCCCTGGCTAAAATGAACAGTAATATTCTAGCTCTCTCAGGAGTCGTGTCATATTCTCTAACAGTCAAAATTCACATCTTCAGGTTATCATCGTTGTTCTCATTAAGGGCTTTGCACAAATGAAAACCCCTGTAGTACTCTCTCTTCATGCTTCCTCCTGCCTACAATTTCTGGCAACTGTGACTGGAACACTCTATTTTTAAGTAAACTCATTTCAGATATTTCAGTGAATATAAACCCCATGTAATAAAGTTCTTTTTGTGAAACCAGGGAGACCTACTTTGCGATACAAGGTAGTGAGCAGCGAACAGGTTCTTGTAAAGCTCCACTCTTTCTGCATGCGGATGGCATCAGACACTGCATCCAGAAAAACACAAGTTTACTTTTCAGCAGTAGATTAAATTTTAAAGTACACCCAAAACATTTAAGTTAACCATAGACTTCCACAAAATATTTGGCTTTGGCAGCCAGATACTTCTAAAAACTGCCCACTGAGATACTTTGTCCCCCATTTACTTGTCTTTGGAACACAAACTGTGGCAACGAGGACTGTATCATTTCACTATGGCACTGTCATCTCAAAGCTGTTCTTGTGATCACACATTCATAGGCCAACAGAGAATCAGCAAGGAATCATCAGTAACTTCTCCCCACTGGAAGCCAGCAATGACACAGCTCTCCCACACAACAGGCAAGCAGTTCTAATCATAGCTCAGAGTGATTTTACCAGAGATTCTGTAGCCCAAACATATTTCTTCCTAAAAACATCAAGCTTCACAATTACCTATCAGGGATTAGAAGCCTTCCTGTCACTACCTCTAATCTACCAAAAGAAACACCGAGCTGGCAGAGAAAGGCCACATCTTGTGCGTAAACCCAAACACAAGGGACCAGACTGGTTTACTCCCAAGCTCTCTGCAGCTCTGCTTCTCCCACCCAGTTTCTCCTTTGGCCAGAACTGCTCCCAGAGGCCAGAGCTTTCCTGTGTCTGCCTCATAAAACCTGCTATTAGGTGGGACTCCTAATACCTGTTCACGAGCCATTGGCTGACGTTCTGTTTGAGGGTGCTGATTTTCCACCTACAGTTTTCTTCTGAACTACAGCCCTCTAGAGCCCAGATTTTGGGGGTTTTGGGTTTTTGTTCTGGAGGAGCCAGAGAAGCTGGCTCCAGTGTGGACTCAGGGAAGCCTGGGTGCAATAAAGCTCCGGATGTGCAGTGACACACCCTGGAGACACGCACTTCTCCCCACCTATTCCTACCTTTCAGCAATGGGTTGTAGGTAAGAACCTCGGTCAGGGTGTGTCTAAAAAACTGCTGCAAGGAATCCGGATGAACCGCACTGTTATAAAGTGACACACTGAACACATTCAGCCTGTAAATGACAAGGAAATGCTTAGAAACAATGCACAGGAAGTATGATAAACCAGGTGCTGATTAGGGTAAATGACTCTTTTTCCTTCCACATCCATCTCTCACATTGCCAGAGATTCACACTTTTTTGGTACGTATTTTTAAAATATCTATTGGTTATTCTACATTATGTAGCCATCAGATTTACAAACTTGAGTTTAACGTATACCCCTGCACAGGATGGGACTTTGACATGTACAAATTAATTAAACAAAACTGGTTTGGAAGCAGGAATTGGAAGAGACAACAGAACCTTCCAGGTGTTAGCTTCCAGGTATTTCTGCTCAGAAGCAGAGTGAGAAAACTTAAGGATGCTCCAAAATTGGTTCCCACAGTGCCAGAACACCTTTTCCTACCTGACACTTATCTTTCTACAAGCATTGTTATTTGCACAGATTTTATTACAGATGAGAACACTAAACATAAGTAACACTGGGGTGGAGCGTGTGTAAATAAGTTACTAAACCCCACAATATTCGCCTTATTCCAGTAATAAGTGTAACAATGGATACAAAAACTTCCTCCTGACATTATTCGGAGGAACAGCGTTTCTTACCAGAACCTCCTAGCTTGCAATGTGGAAGCATCTTCATGCTTCTCTTTACCAACAGCATCAAGCACCCCTGTGTCCCAAAATAAAGACACAAAACCACAGTGAGAGAAATGGAAATGGAAGGAACTGTGACACTAAACAACTGGCAGAAACTAACAGGAACAAAAAGTTTGTGCACCTTTGAGGCGGTGACCCCATTAGGGAAATGTGCACAAGCCTTTCAGCAGCATTAAATTCTTAGAAAATTTTTTCAGGAGTGACAGAGAGACTCAAAAACTATTACCACTAACCTTGAACCAATTTAAAAGCATTCCCAAGAATGTGCTAATAATTAAGCCGTCTAAAAATGCACATAAATTAGTGTTTAACTTCCAAACCCAATCCCAACTGTGCACTGCATCTGTGAGTGTGAACACTGCAAAGCTGCATGAGAGAGAAGCCTGTCTGGAGGCAGATTGGCACAAGTAAGCTTTGAATTAACAACCCTGGTAATAAGGGTCTTAACTGCCCTGGCCAAAGAGCACACTGCAGTGAGAGCCACACATTCTAACTGCAGCAGGGTTTCATGTTACATTTGCTTAGCAGAAATTCCCTCAAAACCTAGATCTGCCGCAAAATGACTGGTGGAGGTCAAACAGGTTGGCAGCTTGTGCAGCCTACACCACTCAAAACCCATGCACTGAGAAACCCTTTGCTTCACAGCCTGCTGCGAGCAGCACTTTTTCTGTTTCTCATCCCATCCTACCTTTAAGTTTGTTTTGTTTGTTTGTTTATTAGGATCACTGAACCACCCTTAAAAGGAAATTTACTGAGCTGTGTCCCTCACATGCCTTTCCTATGCAGCCCACAGTGTTAATAAATAATACCCTCCTCTCCTGCTGAGGAATACCTTAAGGTTAAGTAGGGGAGAATAGAGAAAAGGAGATAAGCTCTACTTATCTTCAGGCACAGGAGTTCAATATAGCATTACTATAAAGCACAGTGCTCCCATGCTACTCTTACCCTGTGCTTCTCCTCCAGTCAAGGTCTTCATTAATAGTGTATTATTTTACATAGAGAATCCTAATGTTCTTCAAAGCAGCTGATTAACTAAGGAAGGCCCCTTAAAGGTGACCCAGAAGTATACACTAATAAAAATACCTTTTAAAAAACCTCTTTCAATACAATTTTCAGACACACAGACTGCCAGTCAGTCAGTGGCAGCACAGGCTGCACAAATGCGAAGGTCAAATGAAGAGCAGGTTAGCAGACTCTTGTCTGACTGCCAACTGCCTACTTCTCTTCTTCCAAAATCCCCTCTAGTCCTGCATTTGGAAGGGTTATTTTTCAAGTACCAACATAAGGGCCACCTGAGATGGGACTTATTAAATAAGAAAGCACTTCTTGCAGCTTTCCCCTTTTAGAAACACTCCCTGCGGTCTGTGAGGCATCTCTGTGTACAGACAATGCTTTCCATGAGACACGGGTATGGGATCAGGCTGACAGTGCCCACCACACAGAAGGGAGGGAGTAGTCCTGGTATCGCAACCTGGTTTTCCATCATCTTACAGCAGAGGAAAAGCACTAACCTCTGCAACAGCACCAAGCACATTGCAGAACCATACCAGCAAAAAGAGGGGAAAGTGCTGTATCTAAGGAGATAGTGAAGTAACTGCAGCCACACAGTCAGATTGTGCTAATATACCGGTGTAGGCACGTGAGGAGGTGCAAGCAAACACTTCCTCTGCTGTACAGCAGATACAGCAACTTACCGTGAAGATCATCTGTCACACAAGACAAAAATAACCGTCATGCGCATTTTGTCTTTCTGCATCGGATTTGCAATGCAAACCAAGTGCTACTATGCTTGAGCTCTCAGGAGCAGCATCAGGAGTGCCCTGGCCAAGACAGGCACAGTTTCCATGGGATAGCTTTTGAAGTCTGGCCATTTAAAGACTACACACCTACACCAGATGTCTTTGCTCAGCATTAAAAACAAAATAGGTTTCACAAAACATTAGCCTGCAAATCCAGACTGTGAGGCAGCAAAATTGCTTCCTTGCACCTAACTTTGTAAATTCAAAGTTTAATTTACTGAGGAGAAAAAAAATTATTCTAACCTAACCTCTGTGCTACAATTGCTTCCAATCCAACTTGTTAAAAATCAGCTCGGATATCTGCCTGATGTTGCAGCTGGGAACATCAAAATGAACTAGTATAAAAGGCAAGAAATTATCTGCAGTGTCAGGAGACACTCACTTTACAAGAGCAAAGGGAAAAGCAGAGGCACAGATAATCAGTGACATAAATATTATGTAAAGGAAAAGATTCCCGGGCAAAGAATTTCTTCATAGAGACTCAGAACTGAACAACGAACGTAAGTCTAGCAAACAGTGACTGCACAAAGCTTCAAATCACAAGAACACTTACATGTCAACATTCTTTGTAAGACAGCATGACAGATCTGTTCAAAATAGACAAATTAAAACCATTTAGATTTTAAAACAGACACAGTTATATGCAGAAAAAGTCAATTGACTCAAAGAAATAATTTTGTCCCTCTTAATTTAAAGCTTAACTTTTACCTCAAGCTCTACTCCAAAACAGATAAAATAGACAGAGGGCAAGCACTTCCCATACTTACCAGCACTCCACTTACCAGCCTTACATTTAAGTGAAAAACCAAAAAAAAAAAAAAAAAAAAAAAGCAATCAAGGTGAAACTGGAGAACCTTAAAAAGCTCTTTATGTGCCATCCTGGAGAAATTCTCCATTAAAAAGGCTCTGTTCTGGTTTCACCATTTCCTCCTCACCCACCCCAGCACCTGGACTACCACCCTTCCTTTGTTGCTCTATGCTCAGATTTCTTTATATTCAGCAAGGCCCAGAGGTGCATAATGGAACTACTTTTTCAACAGCCATTTGTAAATAGGTTCATTCTGTCCTTACATTGGGGACCTTCTTGAATTCCAACTTCATTCCCAGCTCCAAATTTTGCTGAAAGCCATTCTGAAGAAACACAATCGCAAAGTCTGCAAATCAAGAAGGAATTAGTGTTTCAGCATCCCCCTTTCAATAAAGATCCCTTGCTCTTTGGACTCCCCATCCCGCTCTCCCACTAGTGCTAGTGTCTGAAAAGCCTCATTCACTACACAGCAGTTGGCAGGAATCATGTATTTTCTTGAAGTGAAATTACTCCCAGGCAAAAGAACCAAGAACAATGGATGGCAAGGAGCACAGAAACGTAAAAAGAATTATAAAGACTAAAGCAATTACAGGTTTTATGTTCTATTACCACTGCAGAACTCATATAGATTGTACCTGACCACCTGCACCAGGTCAAAGATCTAACTACAGCTCTTCAGTCAAATTGTGCAGTTATTTTTTGTTTTCTAAACAAAACCACCAAATTAATAATAGAAAATTACAGGGGGTAAAATGGAACTGTTAAATATCTCTGGTCTAAAATAGCACTTTGCAGGAGTGTTACACTATCAATGCATCATGCCTACTCCATACACCCTGCAACTATGCTTTCTTGGTATACTGTAACTCAAAGTGATATAGAAATTCAAACCAATTATCTTTTAAGGGGAAAAAAAACAGCTAAATTCACCCCAAATATAAAAATATGTTTCCCTCACTGAAACAGAGTACAGTAACACAAAGCGAGGCCACAGTTTTTACACCTCCAAGCCTTTGACTCACACAGCCCTCGCCACAGGCTGCGCAGACTAGTGCCCAGGTGAGTGTCTTGCCTGAGAGAACGTGCCCAGCAAGCTCCATGTCCCCGGAGGACTCCACTGCCTGCTCACAGAGGCCACAGAGGCCACTGCACAGCCACTCCATTGCAGCAGGGGCGGACGGGTTGCTGAGAACAAACAAAAATAGATTCAGTTCAATCCCTCCTGCTTTTTGTGAGGCTGGGGTTGGCTTTTTTTCCACCAGCGTCCTCTTGGACTCAGGAAAGAGCCATCTGGGCAGGACTGTGTCCTCTATGTGGCATTTCCTCTATTTAATTTGGGCCACCAAGAGCTTTATTTGCTTTATAAAAAGATTCCACAACAAACACATTCAAAGGAAAACATACATGTGAAATTGTGTGTTCAATTATTTCCTCGTCTCTGACATTAAAGTGTTTCCATTTAGAAAGTTCTGCTAGACAAAAGAGTTTGGTTCCAACCACAGACTACTTTGGTTGGAAAAGACCTTGAAGCTCACCCAGCTCCAACCCTCTGCCCCGGGCAGGGACACCTTCCACTAGAGCAGGTTGCTCCAAGCCCCTGTGTCCAACCTGGCCTTGAACACTGCCAGGGATGGGGCAGCCACAGCTTCTCTGGGCACCCTGTGCCAGCTCCTCAGTACCCTCACAGGATGGAATTTCGGCCTAAGAGCTCATCTCAATCTCCTCTGTTTAAGTTTGAATCCATTACCCTAATTTCTAAGATATTTAGATAAAAATGCTTAAAAAAGAAAAATAAGCTCTTAGTCTATCCCTTTATTTTCCTTAAATTTGAAGTAGAATGGGCACTGGAGGCTTTTTTCTAATCACAGTAACAGGTAACTAAACCAATATCGAAAGCCCAAAAGATTACTGTAACATTCCTTTGAGAGCATAAGAAAACAACCTAAATTTCACAAAGCATAGCTGCGTTGTTAGCTCTGTATTGGGGGGGGGGGGGGAGGGGGAAATAGTAAAATCAAATCAATTCTTAGTATTCTCTGGAGATTAGCTCTGCCAAACCTTACTGAAGTGTAAGGGTTTGTGAAGACAGAAGCACACAGCTTTTGCAAAGCTTCTCCTCAAGAGCAGCACTAACTCTTACAGGCTAAATGAGTTTCCAAAACTGACCCTAAGGTGTACTGAGGTGAACTGAAGGAGCTGGGTTACCAAGTCCTGCCCCACACAGCAGAATAACAGAGACAGTGAAACAAAGCACTAGTCCATCACCCAGGACTCTCACTGAGCCATTTCACTTCACCTCTGATTCGCAGCCATCGGACAACCACCACACCTTGAACTGACTAATTAACCCAGAGTAACCTCTCAAACCCAGGATAACTCCTTAAATCCTGCTAATCTGATAACTCACCAGCATCTGACCGTATTCTTAGTCCAGAATACTCATGACTAATCCCTGATTATATTTCAATAGGCTTTAAGAGATTAAATACATCTTCAAACCTATAAACCTCTGCTCACCTCTCCAGCAGCTCTCCCAGGCCAACGATGTCGCCTCTGTGCAGGTGCCACACAGCTTCCAGCACTGGAGGGTCCTAACGAGATGCCACAATTAGGTCATAGTCTGCATTTTGTAGTTAACATTTGGCTTACAGAAATTATATGTTAAAAATAAAGCTAAGTGCACTTTATTCAAACTATCCAGAACATCCTGAAATTTTAAAATGACAACATAGGAAATTCCAGCTGAGGAAAGATTGTTTGATTTTTCCTTCCTACAAATTTTGAATGGTTTTAGGTTGAAGGTGCATCACCACTTTGAATTTTCATGGTCAAGTAATAAATAGATCCATCATTGTCCCCAGAAATAATGCTGATTCTGCATATTCAGAGGAGCAGTGGACATCCCAGGAAACTGGTAACACCACTAAGTTTCAAGGCTTGTTTATTCAGATCCAGAAACAGATTAGAGAACTATCACTTGGCCTAGTAACTGATTATTAGTCTCTGTGAAGCGAGTTCACTGCTTGCAAATCCATTTCCCAATCGGAGACTACAGGAAGAGACACTGCAACCATTTGGGCCAAGAAGCTGATGGACACAGAGGAAAAATAAACACCACGTGGGCTCTAGATAGAAACACTCCCATACAGAAACAAAGCCTTCACACCTCATGAAGGAAGAGGTATCTGGGAGTCTTAGGCACACAAGCCATTCAGAAGAAAAGCCCAAGTCCCAGGAGTATCTCTCAGTGAGCAGCAGCTGCCTCTCAGCATGACCCTGGACTCACCCACATACTTTGTGTCTTTGACAACCTAATTCTTTACTGTAACAATCTCAATTACACAGCAGTACTTGATCTCCATGTCTACCTGAGAACAAGGAGATCCTGATCAGCCTACAGAACACACAGGATTCTATTTTCAGCCCAAGATGTGATATTTGAGACTGGTGCATGTCTTTTTATCCTGGCAGATCAGCCTCTTCCTTCTTTCCCACCAGAGCAGTGAACAACCAGAACTGCCCCGCTCACAAAACGTCCTGAACTCCTCTTAGAGCATCAGTTATCTTAAGAAAACAAACCACCCAGGTGAAATCAAGACAACGCATTTGTAAAGCAACACAACCTGTTATCTCCTATCCTATTTCTCTCAAGCCATTTTCTCCATGAACTCACTTGGGCTTATCACCATTCCCAGATAAATAGAGGGCAGAACCAGAATACCACTGAATATTGCTGGCAAAGCACTTAAAGGACTTCTGGGGCCGTGCCACTGTGCAGCCAGCTGGGAGGTTCTGCACTGCTTGGTTAATTGACCCAGATTGCTTAGCCTACACAGCAAACCTATGTGTCAACTGATGGAGAGTTATTAGAGTACTTCAGTGGTAGCAGCAGAGCAGCAAAGCTAAATAGGAAAGAAAATTATACCCTTTCAGTGTCTGCTAACTGTGGTGTCACTTCAGATGAGTTTAATCCCATCATCCATGCTGTAACTCCAGACACTGAAATGCCATGCCCTTCCCTAGCTGGTTCCTAGTGAGAACCAGCTGTGTCAAGGACAAATGGAAACAGTTCAACATCTCTTCCTCTATTAAATCCTCTTCAAAGGAGCAAGTCTTTCTACAGAGGCAATGAACTTGCTTTATAATAATAAAAAACAAAGAAAAAAACCCCACCATTAATAATTCAGTTCATGCTTCTGAAAGGTCAGAAATACCACAGTCATCTTTGGGAGGAGTTCATGACTGTAGTCGAGCAGAGCAGAGATGAGCAGTGGCACAACTGCTGTAGGTCACCAAAAAACCCACCAAGGGAACCTGAACAGAAGTCACAGCACTTCACTAGTCCATTTAACAGTTATCACTGGCCATGGAAGATGGGGTGAAAACACACTACCACATTCCACAGGTGAGGTCTAAATGGTCTGCAACACAGCAACATTTCTCTTACCTTCATTTTCCACATTTCTTGACAGAAGAGAGAGCGACAGAAGACATTGTTCGCCAGCAAATCCTTGATTGTTTGAAGCAAGCAAGACAACCTCTTCTGGAATCACCCCAGAAATGAAGCAAAAATAATTTCTTTTGTAAATAACACAGTCTTAGAAAAAGATATTTGTTGCTTTTCCCTGTTTACTGCTTTCTAAAGGCTTGAATCGTGAAAAGAATTCATAGGAAAGGCACAAACTTTTCATTTTAAGGCTGAACTGAAGGCAGCCTGGCTGACAGCAGCAACACCTACATGTTTGGGTGACTTTATCAGAACAGATAAACTGGGTTTCAAGTCAAACCTAACATTAGTGTTTTCTTGATAAACTAGATGTAAACCTCCCTTACTCTCTGGTCCAAGTTCAGCAGTGGGACTGGAGGAGTGGGGCTCACAGAAGCCCGACAGATCCGCTCCATGTTGGTAACAGCATTTTTGGCTGCCAGGATTGATGTAGGCACACCCAACCTGGAGGCCTGTTCCTGCAGAACAGAGACTAAAAAAAAAAAAAAAAAAAAAAACAAAAAAAAAAAAAAAAAAAAAAACACAAAAGAAAAGAAAAAAACAACCAAACCAGAAAGCTGTCAGTATGGGAGAAGAAAAGGCTTGAAAATGTGACTATGAAGACAGAAGTCCCAAGTCTTAAACCTCTTCCAGCACAGATGTCATTTGTTGCACTGGGCAAATCACTTTCATTTCCATGAATCATTCCTTTACTGTACATACAACAGATGCAGAACAACCACAGAGGTGGGATATCCTTGCAAAGCAAATCTTTGTATTTCAGTCTCATGGGACTCACAGTAACACTTTCAAATAATCAAAATACTCAATGATCAGACCTTCCCAGAGGTGCCATCACCAAACAAGTAAGAAACATGTAGAATCACAGAATCATTTAGGTTGGAAAGGACCTTTAAGATCATAAAATCCAACCATTAACTCATCAGGTTTTTGCCTCAATAGTTTCCCTTCCACAGGAAGTCAGATTGTACCGTTTGTTTTGCTTATCAAGATGCATTGTTTGTGTCAAATGTTAACATTCAAAATATTTGATCAGTACTGAATAACAGGTGATTCTATCTGTACCTTTTACTTCCAAAGGCTGCAATGCTTGCAACATGCAGCTCCAACCAAAAAAGAAAAAAAATTATCTATAAAAATAATTTAGAAAACCAAACAGAAAGCAGCTGGGTGGGAGACCAGAACAATGGAAAGAAAGTAAAACTGGTATTACATTTTACAGACAAAAATTTAGTACATGAAGAAAGTTCTTTTCCACATCTGTCTCCAGTAGATACTCATTCACTCACCTAAAAATGATTCTGATGATCCTTCCTGGTGCTCTGTGCCATCCTTTCCAGCTGGCTTGACTGAATCTTGCACCTGCAAGCCAAACAAAAACCTAACAGTCTTAGATGTCTGTTACACACATTTACACAGCTGCTCCTTCCAAAGCTCTGGCACTCTTGGGGGCTGCTGCAACTGAAGTGAAATTAACACTCCCATACTCCCATACGGTCATGGTAAACCAGAGATTTCAGGGCACCTTACAAGATACATACGCATAGTTATTATAATTTTAGGCAGAGAATAGGAGATGCAGGTCACCCAACACATCAGCAGCAGCACCAGCAACAGAATTTCTATTTTTCAAGTCCCTTCTGTGAAGCCACACTGCCATAAATATTTGGTGAAACATGTCAAAATGTTGGATCCTTCTCCAGTTAAATGCTGGTTTTATAAAGACAAACGTTCTTTAGAGAATGAAACATCCTTGTGGCTGAACTATGGCAAGTATTTGAACCAGCTATTGCGGTTAAATAAAAAGCTCTCTCTGGTGGGTGAGGAGAGGGTAGAATGTGGCCAAGTCAGAATATTATCTCATGTGTCTATTCACGCAGACTACACAGGTTTTCATAAAGACAGCCTCATCAGTTGGAAGTGGTGGCAATTCAAGTCTCTCATGATTTACTCCCATTCTATATTCATAAGAAGCCAGTTTTGACCTCAAGAAAAAGGGGCTGTATTTTCCTTGTCACAAATCCAAACCATGCTTAACCATTTTAGTCTGTAACAATAAAACACAGAGGAACAAAGGACAAAGAAAATAATAATCCCATTTATGCAACACAGACCTCTAAACTTCAGATTACTCCTACAGTGCTGTTTTTTCTTTCCATGTATCACGAAAACTGTGTTCCTGGGACATCCACTCTGTAGCTGCCCGAGGAAGGACACCTCCTACTGGGATCTCCCACTATCCCCAGCCTGACCTCTACACCCCAAACCACCCCTCTCCTACCTCCAGGAGGAAGTCATTCAGGTTCTGATGGTGATCCAGAAGGCGCAGAGCTGCTTCCTGAAACTCTGCTCCGCTTCCAAAGGCACTTTTCCGTTTCCTGGCTCTCCCTGCTGAGAGGTTTGGGTTTATTTTATAACCCCAGCTTGCTCTGGCAGCCCCACTGAGTTCACCTCGCTCTCTTTGCTGCCACAGCACACACCACTGACAGGGCAAGGGCAGGCCCAGGCTGATTGCCATTACCCAGCAGCATGACCGGGGCAGCACGCGATGTTTGGGTATGGTCTGTTGGGCAGCTCTGCAGACAAAGCCCCATGGCCTTCAGCATGAGCAGCCCAGCACAGGCAAAGCCCTGCCAGGCTGCAAAGGCCCTTGGCACAAAGCAGC